CTGGGTAATCCTCATTCCAAACAGAGGAGGTGAGAGTTAATGAGAAGAACTTTAAATTCCAGTGAGGGACTTTGAAGGCTGCCAATTACATTTTTACACAGTTTATTGGGGTATGCAAGGGGAACCTCTCCACTTAGATGTTCTCAACACTCCCAGGGAAAGCTCTGTGTTTCAGGGAGCAGCAGACCCACCTGATGAAGATGTGGGTACAGTTTAAGTTCAGCTCTCTTCTGCTGCCTGCTGTCCACCATGGACTGCTCCTAAGGAGAGATGCACAAGCTCTCTAAGGCATTTCTTCTCTTTCTTGAGTCTTCTATTCTGCAGAAGGGACATCTGGCTGAATCCCCTCCTTGCTGTTCAAGGACAGTTCCCAAGTCTTCTCCTTTAAACTTTCAGCACCTTATCCTTCCTGCACACCACCCCCAGAGCTGTAAAATGAACAGTGTATTTATGGTTAAAAATTGGCAGCTGTCACAATAACAATTTTAAAAACAAAGTTCTGGCACACCGTCAGCATTACTATGGAAACGCCTGTTTCTAGCAACTCACTGATAAGATACAGTTCAAGGACTCAGGTCTGCGTGGGAGTGTTTTACCATCCATAAAGTGAGGATCTAATTGTTACAATAGGGATTCCCAAGAACAGCTCTCTCAAGTCTTAATGCTGGATTCTCATCTCTTATTTTAATTTGGCAAGAGAGTTGAAATGACGCCTTTATAATGCTTTTGATATGCAGATACAAATAAATGTTCGAACTGGTGTTTTGAAACACGTTGAAGATAATTTTTACATTAATCACCAATCCTCATAATACTTTCTGGTTATTCATGTCACATTTAAATGCACACATCACACACACACCAAAACTCATGGGTAGAAACTGTAATGTAATCTTCTATCAAGTGACACAGCTCATGTTTTAAATCCCCCTGTTCACCTGTCTATGCATATTCCTACCTAGCTGACATGTAATGAGCTTCAAGAATCTGAAGGAATCCATAGCATTCTATAGCATTTTTCTAGGAGCCCGATAGTGCTACCATTTTTTTAATTTAAATTTTTTCATTTTACATACCAACCACAGTTTCCCCTCCCTCCCCTCCTTCTCCTCCCCTCACTTCCCCCAGTCCCACACTCCCACCTCCCCATCCACTCCTCAGAGAGGGTAAGGCCTCCCAGGGGAGTGAACAAAGTCTGGCACATCAAGTTGAGGCACGACCAAGCCCCTCCCCACTGCATCAAGGCTGAGCAAGGTGTCCCACCTCAGGGAATGGGCTCCAGAAAGCCACTTCATGCACCAGAGATAAATCCTGGTCCTACTGCCAGGGCCCCCACAAACAGACCAAGTCACACAACTGTCATCCACATTCAGAGGGCCTAGTTCAGTCCCTTGCAGGTTCCCCAGCCATCAGTCCAGAGTCCCTGAGCTTAGTGCTACCGTTTTTTAACCACAGCACTATTTAAAAAAAAATTTCACTATTTCGTTGCGGTGCAAGGGGGTAGGGATAAACCCACAAGCAATCATTGTCCCATGTGGCAATGTCAGGTGAGATTTGAGTGTAAAGTAAGGCCAAGGAGGAAGGTAGGACTCAGGGCATCATTTCTATAAGATCCAGTTTGGGAGAATGACCTACATGATAGCAGCATCCATTTGTGAATCTCCTCACTTTGAATCAAAGCTCACAAGGTTTTACCTCCAGAGTCTTGAAAGTGTGAGATTAAGTTTCCATATCAGTCTGTTATGGCTTCATAGTTTTTCAAGGCTCCTTATAATGAATTGATTGTTTCATGTTCTCCCAAATGTTTTGGCCACAGCTAAGCCAAAAATTTCAGAGTGAAGGTGAAACATTTACTTACTTTGTTCTAAAGGTAGAGAGTTCAATATAATCGTAGCTCAGTCATGTATAACATGTATACTTTAAAGATATTAACTTGAGAATTGAATATAGATTGATACAAATCTTTTAGAAAATCATCTTATTTCCCCTCCTCCTCCTCCTTCTTCTTTAATGGTTATTATTAACTTAGATATACCATTTCAAGGAACTTTTGACAAGTACATGTTAGACCATGACTTGTCCCTGTGATTCTGTTCCAGTCCTTTCACAGCTCCATCATGAGTTCATGTGTTGTTGCAATTTGAGTTATCATGAGATCCACTTGGGTTCTATATTTGTGAAGAGTGGTTGAAGAATAACAGTAGCAAAGAGTCGCCTTTCAATCATGAAAGCTCAAAAGCAAAAAGCCTTCGAAGCAATTTTAAAATGCCATTCACTTCAGCCCCATACTTACTGTCACTGTTCAATAGAGTCAGGGGGATTCTTTCATCAGAAAATTTACATGACACCCAGAATGGCGACTCAGATTTCTAGACGGTCTTCTTGGTCAAGGGGTGAGGTGCTTGAGTTTATTTTTTATAAATCAATATGACTGGAGATCATGGTCAGTAGTTTGTTCATGCCTCCTGATGATATTACATATTAAGAACACATAACCATGCTTTGTATAGTTTAGACTCTTTGTATTTCATTTAAACCCATCATGTTAAGTAGATAGCAATACCCAACTTCATCTCCAACTGTGAAATTAATGGCTGATAGTCACATAAATAAGAGCCAGAGCCAGGAACAAACCTGACCTCTTCTGCTACAGCCTCTCCTCTTAACCATATCAGTGTTCAGCCAAGAGTGACAGGTGGAGCTAGGGTTCAACCCTTGACATCCTCACCTCCTTTCTGAGGCTGGTGACGGAACTACGGACAAGGTCCTGCTTCTTCACAGGCCACAAGACAAGGAAAGCAGATCAGTTCTCTGTCCACAGAGAACAGCGGGCACTAAGAGGTCTCGGCATTGTTTCCTGTTGTCCCCTCCACTACAGTGAGCTAGGATGTAGGCAGTCCACTTCTCCAGTACAACCAGTCTCCATCATGACACAAAAAGGGTCCAGAGAAACATTCAGAAAACTGAAGAAAAGCGACTGATTTGCCTCCTACCTGTGTGGGTCTGCGCACTCCTGTGGCATTCATCCAGAGCAAAAGCTATTTACTCCCATGAAAGACACAACGGAGGGGAGACACTGACATCAACAGCTTCCGACAAGAGTGCTTTGTCTGACATCCCAGGCAATGCTGCCAAGAGCTGCCTGCTGGAGAGTGCTTCTGATTTTACCCATCCCCCTCTCTCCCTGTCTCCCATTCTTTTACCTCACCTCTTATTTTTTCACTGAGTTTGCATCAGAGTCATATGCCATCATTACTAATGGAATATTTTCTTCTGTGCTGTGTCTTTCCTACCCTTTCTCTCTCTCCAGGCTCCCCCCCCCTCCATTGTGGGAGTCAAGCTAAGAGAACACAGATCCAGACAGGCCAAGCTCTTGCTTGACGATGATCGTTCTCTGGTGCCTCCACTGTGACCACAGGTCACATTCTCTGGTGCCTCCACTGTGACCACAGGACAAACACTGAATTTTGGGTGGTGTGTGGACTTCTTGAGAGGATTTCTCTCCTTTGTAGTCTCATCTCTCACCCGTCCTTGTCCTCCTTCTGACATGCCTTTATGTACAACCTCTGCTCTCACTGGAGTCTCTTCAATTCTAAAGAGTGTTTAAGTTCCCCTTTTAAATTTTAGTTCACATGGTTTCATTTAAGTGAAATTCCTTGCTAAGAATAGCTGACTACTCCCTCATCCTTCAGAGAACAATCATAGGCTTCATTTCAAATTTCTCCACTTAAGCTCTGCTCATGACACTCATAAATACATATTTGTAACATACTGTGATTATATGCATACATGAGTAAATGTGGTTCTTTTCTCCTATCTCCAGAAACTGAGATCTAGATTCTTTGATATCTTTGTATTTTTATATTCTAACTCCATTGATGCCCACATAATTGATATTATTGATGAGAGAGCGAAAAACTAGAAAACCACATTTAAGCAAGGTTTATAGTAAGTAGATCAAAGATAACATTATGGGGAACTCTACTGTCTGGTATTAATTGTACAATGATTTGAACCAAACTAGGAAGAAACAATGGCAACAATAAAAGTGATTAAAAACAGTGAGGATATTAAATGGCCCAGAACTGTTAAAACGCTGTTTTCATATGTGACATTATGTTGGCTTGGTAATGAGACAAGGACCATACAGAGAGCCAAGTGAGAACTGAGAAGGCAAAACAACTTCCTCCTGCTATTATAGTGCTGCCAGAAGTAGTACGCTGAGCACATCCTCTAAACAACCTGCACAGGGCCGCCTCTTTTCTTAGGGTTTCTGTGCAGCTCTGTTACAGATTCCTGTTATCTATTGCTAAACCAGTAGGTTCCAGCTTTGCTGAAGAGACAAACACTGCAGTGGACGTAATACCAACGTCTGTGCACTGGTGAAGCTGCTTCTGGAGAGGGCTCCCCCTGATGCTTTCTGTTGCGTAATGTCTGGGTTCAACATGGACCACAGCCGCTTTTACAAACATCACTTGTTCCATGATATCCAAGTCAAAACAAAGACTGCGAAAACTGCCTTTGGAAGTAGCCCATCAATCTTCCTTCTTTGGGGATCTGTTCCACAAGACCCAGCTAATTTAATTCGCTTTCTTTCCCCCCAAAGGCTTTAAAGCAATTATATCTTTGGTTCAAAATCATAAGTTTGAACAAGGAAAGGAGCAAATCATGAATGACAGAGACCTATAAATTTAGGATGATTTTGCATGTTTATGGGTTCATCGTTGTCACGTTAAATGAAGGATCTTCGTCACTGAGATGACAAGGCTGAGTAAATACAGTAGATATTTCATACACATTTTCTCAGAGCAGACCTTGGAGACTAGGTAGGACACCATTTGCTCATGATCTAGGAATAAGGAAAGTCTGGAATGCCTTGGTCTTGTTACGTTAGGTAGGTACCAGCTCCATCTCGTTGGTCTTCATCCCAGGGTGGCACCATTGTTCTAGTGAATACCTTTGCTCCAGAACTCACACTGTCATCCCTTCAACCCTTGCAGCTGGCTGACGACTGGCTCGTGGGCATTTTCACCGCCCTTGGCTCAGGGACCTTGGCCCTGTTATTCATCCTCTTGCTTGTGGTTGTTGCTTCCCTTATCTCCTCCAACAAAAGGGCAACTCAAGGAACCTACAGCCCCAGCCGTCAGGAGAAGGCTGGCCCTCGAGTGGAAATGTGGAGCAGGATGCCGCCCCCGGCCCTGGAAAGACTCATCTAAAAACCTGCTGCTTCTCTGAGAAAGGAAAAGAACGCGATGAGCGAGCACCCTGCTCCTGCCTGAGTGACAGTTTTACATCACTAGAGCTACTAACTTACAGCTGGGACCCCACTGGGACTGTGGGGAGGATTTCCCTAGCCGCCTTATAGACCTTCATGGGGGGTTGCCCTGCATCACCGTTTGCTTATGTGAGCCATTCACAGAAATGTGTCTCTGTGTCATGGATGACAACCTCAGAATCAGCAAAACATCCTCCAGACAGAGAACTGTATTTTAGAAAACTGTATTTCTAAAACTGTATTTTAGAAAAATTTTATAATCTAACTACCCCTTAAACTCTTTACTAGGTGATCCAGAGAAAATGCTTAGTAGCCAAGTGCCACACATTACATAGAACCAGAAAGAAAAATTAGAAAACAATTTTCACTTTCTTCTTTTTATTTTGTAGGAAAGTTTTGTTTTTTAAGACAGTGTCTCACTATGTAAACCAAGCCAGCCTCCAAATCACATGGACCCTCCTCCCTCATCCTCCTGAACTCTAGGATTACATGTGTCTGATCATGTCCAGCTTAGCTTTGAATCTTTTATCATATGCTAAAAGATTCTAATGGGACTTGGAGAGATGGCTCACTGGATAAGAACTTGCTGGATGAGGGCGAGAACTGGAGTTTGGGACCCTGTTACCCACACAAGTGCCAGCTAAGTGTGGCCCTGTTTGCAATCCGAGGCCTCAGGAGGTAGAGATAGAGGTCACTGTAGTAAGCCGCCAAACTGTTAGGGTGAGTGAGTTCTGGTCTCAAATGAGAGAACTTGACTCAATATAAAAGGTAAATTGTGGGTGAAGAAGACACTATATGTCAATGTCTTGCCTATACGTGCATGTGCACACATTTATGTGTGCCCAAGCATGGAAACATATATACATACACACCACACACTGATGCAACACACACACACACACACACACACACACACACACACACACACACACACACATACACGGGTCTAATTGTGTGTGATGATGAGAGGTACACTTTAGTCCTTCAGTCATGGATTTAGAGGAAGTCATGAGAAGAATGTATGGTTTAAAACATGACCCAACTTGAAATATGGCTGTTCTCCTGTCTGAGATTGGCTTTGTTGGTGTTTGGTTGCTTAGTTGGTTGGTGGTTATTTGTTTATTTGTTTTGTTTGCCTGTGATATTACATGTAACAAAAGTAACTTGTAAGAACAATTGAAAAACTTTGTGATGAATTACATCTTTTGCCTAAATCATTTAGAGTCATTATTCTTTATGAAGATATGCTTCCAGTCAAGACATTTCCTAGGCAGAAATTAAGACAGTAAGAAAATTGTTAGTCAAGCCTGAAAGAGGAGGCTCTTTCCTTCCAGGGACTTTTGGTAACATCCAAAAGTGATGGCACCTAAGTGTAAGGACCCCACAGTGAGATAGACATGTGTGCAGAAGCATCTGAAAGGAGAAAATATTGCACCTTCTATTTGTACAATGTCTATGCTGCGATGGCTGTATTGTATGTATGTTTTGAAATGTATGTAATACTATTATAGTATAATATAAATAAAATGGGGATATATGTATGTGTATTTCCAACACAAGCTTTAAAATATAATAACATAAACTTTAAATCTAGAAGAAATCTATCTTCCCCAACTACAATTGTTCCAGAAACCCCCCTTTCTTTTCCTACTAGCAGTTTTTACACAGTACTAGAAGTCCTATAACCCCAAAAGTGCGGTCATATGACCAATCACTGGGTTCTCTCCCATGAACCACTGCTTCCTTTAAACCCTCCTGTTCCTCAGCCTCGGGCGTCAGCCATGTATCTGCAGAAGAGTTTTCTGTTTCCTGGCTCCCTTTTCTTTCCTACTCCTTCTTGAGCTCAAACTTTTGCTTCTCCTTCCCAACGCTCAGATTCGTCCACATCTCCACCAGGCTGACCTCAGCTTCCCCGAGTTTTCAGATTAGGATTTGAGCCCACTTCTCACCACACTGTGCAGACACTCTTTCATCTTAGCCTTGGTCTCTCTTCACTCCTCAGCCCCACAGTCCCTTTTCAGCTTTGACCCCATCAGTCTCCACTCTGCTGTTACCCCCCCCCCCCGCCCCTCATCATTTCTTTACTCTGTTTCCTCTATTTAGAATCTAATCAACTGGAGAAATACCTTCTGTTTTAGAAGGTTTCTTTTTACAGCCACATGCATCACCTTGAGTAGACTTAACTCAGTGAAAGTGTGATCCGTGTTTTCTGGATAAGTGAATGAGGGATGCGTCACCGCTGTTCAACCTGTGCTTGTCAAGAACTAAATCCCACTGCACTCAAGATGCATGCCTTCCAGCTCTATAGCTGACCTAGTGTCTTCATCTCTGACTTCCTCTCCATAGTCAGGATGGTGTGAAGCCACACTTCCAGAAGATAGATGTCTGTAGATGTCTACATGTGCATTATGCTATCAAACACTTTTATTTTTGCATTCTACTGGGGTTACAAATTCTTTTTTTTTTTTTTTTTTTTGGTTTTTCGAGACAGGGTTTCTCTGTGTAGCTTTGCGCCTTTCCTGGAACTCACTTGGTAGCCCAGGCTGGCCTCGAACTCACAGAGATCCGCCTGGCTCTGCCTCCCGAGTGCTGGGATTAAAGGCGTGCGCCACCACCGCCCGGCTTACAAATTCTTAATAGAGGGTGTATGTGGAAAGGACAAAAGACACTCTTCCATAAGGAAAAAATTGAGTTTCTGAGTTTTTATACATACAGAATATAAATCTGTCTGATTGGTATTAGCACCAGTAGGGGGAAAAAGGTAACTCCAAAGGTAACAGCATATGTTTAGGAAAGATATTTAAGTAACCCAGTTATTAAGCTTTCTTTAGAAAGGCTTAATGTTCTTCAGTGAGACGTGTACATAGATACATACACGTGAATCCATGCACATGGCCATAAATGACGAATGAATCTATATTGACTATCTCCCAACACATACACAGTAATTTCTTACAAGCTTCCTGAGGTCACCAAAGATTTGAATCCGACACAAGCAAAGCAGTCAAAACACTTAATGCAGGAAGAGCTGGAGAATTGGCCCTTTAATTGCACCAAATGGTTTTTGAAAGGCAGATCTCACCTTCAACAGAAAGTCTAACATTGACCTCACAAGTAGTGCACCCTTCAGCTCAGACCGCCTATTTTGCAATTCATATCAGGAAGAAGTGTCCCATGCATGGACTCATCTGCTGCTCACATGCAGTCCCTCCCTCCCCCTGAGGGGTGGAGTCTGTTTTCCTCTTGGATTAGCACTGGGCTTTGTGACCTGCTCTATCCAACAGAATACTGTGAAAGTGATGCTGTACCACCGTCAGGTCAGGCACCAGAGCCTGGCAGCTCAGTTAGAAGGTGGCCCAAAGATTGCCACACTGCCAAGAAGTCTGTAGTAAAAACACCATATGAGAGAGAGACATAACCATGCTGGCGGAGCCTGGCCTCCAGCCTGCTGGGTTCAGTTAGATAGTGATCCAAGTGAAGCCAGGACAGGAGCCACCAGTCACTACAGACTCCGAAAGCAACAACCTAAGGGGTCCCAGGGGTTTGTTGTGTGGTCATAGGTAACTGAGACACAACCACTCACATTAAGAAAGGAACTAAGACAAATGTGAGTGCTTCTGGGATTTGTTTTGAGTAGTTCCTTTTTATTTGCATAGGCACAACAATTAGTATGTTATTAAAGTACCACACGTTGGTGCTCAGTTTCACTCTGAGTGGTGAGTTTCCATTAAATCTAGTCCCGGGTCCATGTGGTGCTCAGGGTCACAGTGGCTCCAGCACAGCTGTGTGCAGACATTGGGCTCTGGTGTAAAGTGAACACAGCCGGCCTACTTCCTGTCCAGAGGAACTGTGGCCCTGGGACAGCGTATGTGAGAGACACATCTGGTGTGTGTTTACACGGAGTGACGGAAAAGCTCCTGCAAGCGGCCGGCCTCTCACGTGGCTTCTGTAATCACCATGTGGACAAAGGGCATCCGGAAATAACAAGTGACTGTCACTGAAATCAGCTGTCAAACTCGCCACTTCTTAACTCCTTATGAGACTACTGTTCAGTGGTTCCGCTCTCCTCTTAAAGAGAGGGGGAAATAGTCCCAGAAGCCAGCTCCGTGCAGCCATGGTTATCTTTATTAGAATTACTATCAGCAGCAGGAATTGAATAGCAACAGTCACGGTGCACAGAGGCAGAACTAGAGGGCATCAAAGTCATTATGATTCGGAGGACAGGGAGAGAGCCTGGCTGAGGACTTGCTCTGGTGCCAGGCCTGTATGACAAATAAACAAAACGCACTATGTTGCGTCTAAACAGGAGACTGAACTTTGAAAGAAGACTTCGACCTTTATTTTGGACAGTTGAGGGGGTTAGGGAACAGGTCTCAGCTGATGGTTGGCCCCACGCAGGTGGCTTGAACTCATCTGTAGAATGAGAGCCAGTCTGTCTTACAGGCACGTGGCGAAGGTTATAACTGAAATGTGCCTAACTACCGGTAAGCACGGGTGGTGGATAGAGCGCCCGCTATCATTAGTTAACAGGACAAGTGACAACCGAAATAAAGTCTTACTTCCACACTCCCTTCTCTGTTTGCCAAGCAAATGGGTAACTCCTTCTTGTCACCTTCCACCACCGTAAGATGTGCCTGTCAGTCAGTCAGGTGCCAAGCTGTGGAAGGATACTGTGTTTATGCTGTGCCTAAACCGTCTATTGCTCTGTGCTGGCAATCCCATTGTCTAAAGAAACTCCACTTCCGGTAAGACTCAAGTCATGCATGTACTTTACAAAACATGGCCAAAAATAAACCAAAGGTCTCGGGTCTCCCGAGCCCCACAAACAACTGATGATAGCAAACTTTAAACAATTTTTTTAATTAAAACTTTATTATAAAGAACTTACAAACAAAAATCACACATCAACATTAACCAGACCCAAAGTCTATATACCTCAGTGACCTTTTATATAGTTAAAATAGCCATTCTGAAGCCATGGAACATCACACTGGATTTTACACTTTCATTATCAAATACATTTTTTTTTTTGTGCACTAATCCACCACTAAAGAAATAAAAATGGAAAAATCATGACAGAAAACTAGAAAGACAATTAGCTTTATATCCTCTTTCATTATCGGGGTATTCATTACTTGTGTTCAATCCTTCCTCATCACCTAATATTTACCCTTTACTGCTCTCCTTTCTACATGTTATATTGTACCCACATGTGTATTGGTTATATACAGATGTATATAAACATACATCATATGGTTAGGATCCCCATGTGAGTGCGAACTTAGCTTTCCCGCTCCACACTGCACTCTTACACATAGCAGTCTCCTTCCCTTTCAGGGCCACAAGTGTTCTTTCACCCTCCCAACCCCTCTCCTTTTAAACCTTTTAACCCTTTCCTGGTCCCTTTCTAGATTCCTGACCTCTATCCACAATTACTCCCCACCAATCACATATACAACAATTAAAAGCTAGGATCCACATACGAGAAAGAACACGCAGCATTTACCTTTCTGGGCCTAGCTTACTTCCCTTAATATAATACTTTTCACTCCCACCCATTTTCCTGAGAATTGCATGATTTCAGTTTTCTTTGCTGTTGTTGAATAAAATTGCATTGTTTCTATGTCCTGCATCTTTATTATCCATTCATCAGAAGGGCCTTGAGGCTGGTTTCATTTCCAGTTCCTTTAAAGGAGCATGGATGTGCAGGGATTTCTGTGACAGGATCTAGAGTCGTCCTGCCCCAGCGGGGCACTATGGTGACTCCGTTTTGTTTCTGAGAAGCCTCTACTCTGATTTCCATAGCAGCTGCACCAGTCTACACTTGGACCAGCAGGGAACAACGCCCCCCTTTCCACATCCTTGCCAGCATTTGTTTTAATTCAGAATGTGGCAAGATGGAATCTCAAAGTAGTTTCAATTTGCATTTCCCCTGTGGCTAAGGATATAGAACACTTTTAAACAGATTTATTCGCCATTTGTGACTGAGAGACCTTTCAGGTAAGTTCATTAGTGTATTTGTTGACTGTGGGGTCTTGGGGGTTTTCATGTTTGGAGTTATTTATACATTCTAGATATTAATACATGTCTGAGTATCACTGCTGGATTTCACCCATGCTGTAGGCTCTTTGTTCATCTGCTGATGGCTTCCTATGCTGCGCAGAGCTTCTTAATTTTGTACGAACTCCCTTGTCCACTGTTGGTTTTATTTCTTCCTTTTCAGAAAAAAAAATCTTGTTTAGTCCTATGTTTTGAACTGTTTTCCTGAGAACACTAGTTTTTGTTTTATAGAGCTGATGGTGCTACTGATGATGATGATGATGATGATGATGGTGATGGTGATGATGACAGTGACTATTGGAACTTTTAGGATTTCTATAAGCATCCACAAAAACTACTGATTCATCTGTCCTACTTTCCTGATCCTCCTAGTGAGCCATTAGTCAATCTCCAGCTGGATTGATGCTCTGTAGTGTTTGATT